TATAATTCTCCAATTAAGATAATTGAAGATAAGTTAACTAAATGGTCATTTTGTTCTAATTATATTACAAAAATCTCAAATAAGAATCATTGTACTAAATGCAGAAACAGAAATACCTTAGAATGATTTGCAATATTATTAAAAGTTGTATAAGGGTCATTTGTTAACTGGGAATTTTTTCTCTGTTTTTAAAATTTCTACATAACCATGAGATCAATATCCTTAGCGTATGCTTCTGAGTAAATTTTTATCTAGCAAAATAACCTGTTTTCATGAATTACTCTTTCTTTTCAGTTACCTCACCACGATGCTGTTTAAAGAGATAGCCCCTTCTTTAATACAAAAACATTTTTTTTTCCTTAGTTGTCTAGAAGCTTTAACATGTAAGGATGGTCAAAGTAAAAGCCAACCTACATTTGGGTACCTGATGCCATTAAAATCAGTCAGGAAAAAAGAGGCAAAACTGCCAACATAGTGTAGTAATTCCCACTAAGAACAGGACTAAATAAATAAATGAATATATACTCTCTCTATGGCAGCAAGTATTCATTTATAACTAAGATGATAAATTATCCTATTACTTATGTTCAAAGTAGCCCTACTTAATATAATATCATTCCCTAAAGAAGCACTTTTCTATGATATATAGAACTTAATTTTTCTAACATCTTTAAACTATATTTACTCATTGTTTTTGTATCCTTTTATTTGTAAGTACTTTCCAAAGTGAAAGTGCTTCAATTATTCTTTGATATCACATACTTTCAATAAGCAGTGAATTCAAAATGCACAGGAGTAAAGTAATGTTAATTTTATTAAGATATAATTTTACAGAAAAGTTGATGAGCTCTACTTTGTACTTAATTCACAGAATTTGAAAACTGCCCACAATTCATCTATTACTCTTATAAAACTCATAAACTATGCATTCCTCCCATTTCTATCTTATCCTACATTCATAAGTGTGCCTGAAAATAGTGCAATTAATAAGACAAAAGTAAAACCAAAAATACCCTGTGGATAAATTTATTTATTAATAGTATTGTTGTTATAGAATAAACCAAAAGAACTCCAAGAAATAGTTAAAATTTTACCAAAACTACAATTAAAATTACATAATCAAATTATTCCAAATGAAAACAAAAACCTACCAGCCAATGAATTTATCAATTAACAACCTACATCAACATTTACCATTCATAGGTTAGAAAAAAATGACGTGCCTTCCTAGCTATCCCTGGAAAGCATAATCACCACCATGTCTCATAACTAAATGATACTACTGTTCAATAATTGGAAATATGAAAAGAGTAACGTATTCTGTGAACTATAAACTATATTGTTGGGAGGCAGAGTAGAGAAGACATGTACTAACCAGGTAACTTAGAAATTCAGTTTCATGGCCAATACTGCATGTGAGCCCATGTAAATACTGAATCAGAGAGCTTGTACATAAAGTCAGGGTTATACCCTCAATGAAAAATTATTTGGTTTGGTTTGGTTTGGTTTGGTTTTAATCTGCTCTGCTGAAGCAGACAGAAAATGTCTACTTTAGCCTTGGCCCTATGTGGAAGGAGAAAGGGCTTCCCTTAAAAATTTTCCATCATAGACTAGACATCATGTCACTGTGGGCATGAATTTACCCTACATATAAATAAGGTCCCAAAAAACCACATGCCGAAATTTTAATTTAATTTAGACCAAGGTTGCTAGGCCCCCAGAAGTACACATTCTCTCTAGAGCAGGCGATCTAACACCCAAGGGGGCCCAATCTGGAACAAAGCCATGCTTGTTTGTGTATGTATTATATGTGGCTGCTTTTATGCAAACCAGCAGAGCTGAGTAGTTATGATAAAAACCACGTGGCCCACAAAACCTAAAATATTTACTCTCTGGCCCTTTACAGAAAAGACTGTGACCCTTAGTTTAAAATATTGATAATATGGTCAAATGTACTTAAAACAAAAAAAGATGAATTAAAGCAGCAGAAATAGTAGCCTATAAATTGGAGGTTGACCAAAGAGTGAAAGTACTAGTTAACTTTAGACTTCATTTTTTTTGAAACTTCAAAAGTCAAAACCTCTGGTTCAATCATAAGCTTCATGATAGTTTAATTCTGAATCTTCCCATTTTCCTCAGAGAAGACATGTAAAACAATAAGGAAAACATGAAGGTAATGTGAAAGAAAAAGAAAATTAAATATCCAGAGAAACTAGGAACTTTTAAAAAACTACAGACTCCAAATAAGGTGTGAATATGCAAAAAAGCAAGTAAAACCAAGAGAGTCACATAGAAGAAGCCACAAGAATGCAGAAAAGATGAGAAACAGGAGTGTGGGAAGAAGCCTAGTGGTAGCAGATCTCAAAAATTACCACACTCCTTCCCACAAAAAGGCTTTCTCTCCCTAAATGTAAGAAGAGCCATAATTAAAAACAAGAAGACAACAGAGTAACACAAAGTGTACAAAAGCCAGATGGAATCATGAAGCAAAATCCAATCCCCTCTTATACACAAGAGACACATTTAAAACAAAGTGATTCTGAAAGTTTAACAATGAAGGAGAGGGCAAAAGTATACCAGGAAAATACTGAACCCCTTCCCACAGAAAGCAAGAGCCATAATATTAAATATCAGACAAAGTAGAAATCAAGTCAAGTCAAATCAAGTCAACATTAAGCAAGCAAAACAATTTATAATATTAAAAGACACAATTTGCAAGAAAGATGTTAACAGTTACGAATATCCGTAATATCAACTTTCATAAAGTATAAATTCCAGAATATACAAGGAAAAATAGGCAAAAATAAACTAACATTTTTAGACTTTAATTCAATTTTCAGAGCATAGCAGATGAAGTACAAAAAAAAGTAAGGAAAGAATAGAATACCTAAACAGATTAATGAAGTAGATTTGATAGATATGTATGTGTATGTCATATCTTGATATTATAAGATTTACCTCCTTTTCAAGTGTCTATAAAATATGAAAACTGGCCCACAAAGAAAATCTCAATAAATTACAAAAAGTAGAAATAATACCAACAACATTCCCTGAACATAATAAAACCAAAAATTAATAACAAAATCAAAAAACAAACACCTTTCTACATAGAAAATTTCTAACTGCTGCTTAAACAACTCTTGGGCCCATCTAAGAAATGCAATGACAGCCACATGTGCTTCAATGCCACCATGAGTCTGTTACAACAATAATGTGTGTACACATAGCAGTCTATCCAATACAGCATCGCTAATCAACCGTTACACTCCAAAGTGTTCCCATCAGCAGGAATTCTCTTTAGATCTGTTCTATTTTCCCAGTAAGGTAAGAAGTAAGGTCACTGGCTCAGAGTAATTGTGGAGAAGGAAGCCCTGGAAGTTTAGAGAGGAAATATGAATGAAATGTATAAATTTGTATAGAGAGGAAATATATATGAAATAGAGAAGAAATGTATGAAATGGTCAACCTGGGAGAGTTGGAGGAAAGACTGGTGATTATGAGGTTCAAGCTGGGTAAGGTTAGAAGTACAGATAAGGGAGTGATAGTGAAAAACCGATAGGAGGCCCAATGGACTGACAGCTCTAGTAAGGTTGCAGAATTGTCAGAGGTGGGGTACTAGAAGGAGTAAACTGGAAAGATCAGTGACACTCAATGAGTAAGATAACTGAAATGGAAATTATGGGATACACTGAGGAACACAAGTCAAAAGTATGACAATGGGAAACAGTGACTCAAACAGGATGGAAAATAAGATCCCAGAAGAGAGATTAAAAAAAAAAAAAAAAAAAAGAGAGAATCCAAGAATTAGATTAACTCTTTAAGTGGATAGTGAAATCAGAGAAATAGTTGACTAACATTTTGCTTTGTAATGTATTGTAATGTAACATATTCTATGGGATAGAATGATAGTGGACCAGAAGTTATATTTTTCAAGGAATAAAGCACAGTGATCTGAGGGCAACAGAAAAATAAAGAAGTAATAGGCGACACAGTTTGACGAAGTAAGGTTCAAAGGTGAGTGCTTTAAAAGAGGAAGGAAGGGGAATAGTGTAAAATGGCAATAAGAAGTAAGAAGGATATGTATTCCACTTTCCACTCAGCTGCAGTGGGGATTTTGAAAAGAAAACTTATCACTTGAAAGGACTGCAGGAGGAAGGGAGGAGTATTTTTAGAAAAGGAGTCTTGTGAGCACATTAAGGACTCACTTGTTGCTCTGTAAGTGAGAGTCCTCGTTAAGACTACACAAGGACTCTAAATGGTTGAATATAGCTATCTATACACAAAGGAGCCAAAAACTTGAGTTCATAATACTGGCCAGAGCCAAAAATGGAATTTGGTCTTCAATCTAAACAGGGAACATATGGTATGTATACATAAATTTTGTAAAAAAAATCTTGTGTTTGAAAATGTAAAGAATTTTTTTTTTAAATTTTAAAGTACCAGAAAAACAAAGAAGAGTATTTAAGAGCATAGTATAAAAAGTCGTATGTAGATCGTCTCAGTCACCTTCACCCACCAGATAATAATCTCTTATAAAAGATTACAACAGACTATCTTCAGGAAGCTAACTTTAAAAGAATAATACACATATAGAGATCTTACAGTAAGATTAAAAACAGAACCCTGAAAATGAAAATCCTGATATCATGGAATGCATAGTAAAGGGACTAAGTTAGTGTTAGTTCTTGGTTCATAAGTAAAATCCAAAGAAATAGCACCATCTGTTGGAATTTCTCATATTTATAAAAATTCTCAATTCTTGAAAATGTGTAACTGGTATGTAACACTTCCTCACTTTTAGCTAAGAAGATAAATATTAAAGGACAAAACCTAACACAAAATCAAAAGTTTTATATTAAAAAGTATTAATTCTTAGCTCATAATTCTGATTTCAAAAAACTCAGCATTTGACTAAATTCATATGAAGATTTTATTAAAGATAAAAATAGTCTCAACTAATAAAGAAAAGAGTATATAGTTACATTTTCAAAGTAACTCACAGATATGGTATTCCTGTATGCTGCTTGTATAACCATATATTGCCGAATATCCAAATATTATGATCATGACAACATCTCTACTATCCAACTCCATAATGTGTGCTGAATGTCCTTCCACAGCATACTGCTGACCATGTCCAAGCACAGTAGGAGTTTTTGTACTCCATGACTGACTATGTACGTTAAAAACCCATAATTCGTCTGTGACATTGCCATCATTTGTTTCAATTCTGCCTCCATACATAAAGATGTTTTCCTGTAAATTAAAAACATATATTAATAAGCAAAATAGTCATATCTTAGCAATATAATTAAAAATAAAGGTTTAATTTAAACACTAAACTTTAGTAATCACTCATCACACAAGGCATAGTTTTTATTTATAGAAAGTCAAATGGTAATTAATGCTTTTACTTACAAGGAGGGGGAAAAAAATCCATGCTTTCAAAAGTTACTTTAAAATACTTTCTTAGGGGAACCTGGGTGGCTCAGTGGTTTAAGCCTCTGCTTTCGGCTCGGGTCATGATCTCAGGGTTCTGGGATTGGGCCCCGCATGGGGCTCTCTGCTCAGCGGGGAACCTGCTTCCCTCTCTCTCTCTGCCTGCCTCTCTGCCTACCTCTCTGCCTACTTGGGATCTCTCTCTGTCAAATAAATAAATTCTTAAAAAAAAAAAAAAAAAAACCTTTCTTTAAAACAGCTATATTAATATAGTTAAATTGACTATATTTTTCATTATCTTAGTTGTTGAGTCTCTACTTCTTACACTTAAATTTTACCAGCTATGTATATTGCTTTGTGCTATTCTCATTCACTGTTTTCTTCAAGAACTGTCCACCAAAAAGGTAGACCACACTGCAGAATACAAAATGAATATACAAAAAATCTATTCTATTTCTATACACTTAAAATGAACAATCCAAAAATGAAAAATGAAGCTAAGTAAACAATTCCATTCACAAAAGCATCAAAAATTAAAATGAACAATCCAAAAATGAAAAATGAAACTAAGTAAATAATTCCATACACAAAAGCATCAAGAAGGAAGTAATACTTAAAAATAAATTTAACAAAAGAAATAACAAACTAACTCTGAAAGCTACAAAACATTGTTGAAAGAAATTTTAAAAGATCTAAATGAATGGAAAGACACTCCATGTTCATTGGTCAAAAGACTTAATATAATTAAGATGGCAATGTCTCCAAATTGATCTACAGATTCAATGCAATCTCTTGAACAGCTTCTTTGTAGAAATTGGTAAGTTGATTCCAAAATTCACATGGAATTGCAAGGGACCCAGAATATCCAAACGATCTTGAAAAAGAAGGTTATAATTGGAGAACTCACACTGTTCGATTTCAAAACTTATTATAAAGGAAAAGTAATCAAGACAGTGTACTACAGGCATAAAGACAGGCATATAAATCAATAGAACTGAGAGTCCAGAAATAAATCTAGACATCCAGGGCCAACTGATACTTGACAAGAGTGCCAAGACCACTCAGGAGGAAAAGAACAGCCTCTTCAACAAGATGGTATAATGAGAGCTGGACAGTCAACATGCCAAAGAATGAACTTGAACCTTTACGGCATACTATGTATAAAACCTAACTCAAATGGATCAAACGCCTAAATTTAAGAGCCAAACTATAAAATTTTAGACAGAAACAGGAGGAAACCTTCATAACACTGGATTTGGCAATGGCTTCTTAAGTATGACACCAAACACAAGCAACAAAAGAAAAACAATAAATTGGATTTCATCAAAATTAAGAAACTTCTGTGCTTCAAAAGACACTATCAAGAAAGCTCACAGAATGGGAAAAAAAAATGTGCAAAACATGTATTTGATAAGGGACTTGTATCTAGAATATATAAATACCTCTTACTTCTCAATAATAAAAAGACAAATAACCCAATTAAACAATGGGAAGGGGGAGTACCTGGGTGGTTCAGTCGCTTAAGGATCTGCCTTCCCAAGACCCTGGGATCCAGCCCTCCCCAAGCCAGCCCCCAAGCCTCCTCCCACAGGGCTCTCTGCTCAGCAGGGAGTCTGCTTCTTCCTCTCCCTCTGCCCCTCCCCTCTCCACCAGTCCTGCTCTTTCTCTCTCAAATAAATAAATAAAATCTTTTAAAAAATAAAATAAAATAAAAATAAATTTAAAAAGTTAAAAATGGTAAGAGGACTTGAATAGATATTTCTCCAAAGAAAATACAAATAGGCAATAAGCACATGAAAAGATGACTCATAACATTAGTCAACAGGGAAATGCAAATCAAAACAAAATCCGATACCACTTCACTAGGGATGGTTATAATCCAAAACGATATCAAATAACCAGTGCCGGCAAGGACACAGAATAACTGCAACCTTCATATATGGCCTCTAGAAATGTAAGATGACGTAGCCACTCTGGAAAACAGTCTGGTAGTTCCTCAAAAAGTTAAATATAGAGTTACCATTTGACCCAGCAAATTTCAATCCTACTGATGTACCCAAGGGAAACATACGCACACGTCCACACAAACACTTACACATGAACGTTCACAGCAGCATTACCGTAACAGCCAAAAGGTGAAAACAACTCAAGTGCCCAATCAACTGATAAATGAATAAAGCAAATGTAGTATATCCATAATAGAATATTATTTAGCCATAAAAATGAAATATCAATACATGCTACAACATGCTAGTCACAAACCATATGGTATATAATTTCATTTATATGAAATGTCCAGAACAGACGAAGCTATAGAGATTCATGATTGCTTAAAGCTGGGAGGATGAGGAGATTTAGAGTAATAAAGGGTACAAGTATCTCTGTGAGGTAATGAAATGTTCTAAAATTGATTATTCAACTCTGTGATTTTATGCAAATACGCAAAAGGTTGTTGCACAACTCTAAATAAATTAAAAACCATTCCAAATGCACACTATGGATGACTGAACTGTACGGTAAATCAATTACATTTCAAAAGTTATTACCAAAAAAATGCAATAATCAAAACACTAAAACTAAAAACCAAAATTAAAAGGAAAAAAGCATTTATATACACACAAACACATATACACTTGATCTTAGCCAAAAGGCCGAGAAGTGGTTCACAAACACATATACATAGAAAGGTTTTTATCTTTAAAACATGCATACACAGGGACGCCTGGGTGGCTCAGTTGGTTAAGCAGCTGCCTTCGGCTCAGGTCATGATCCCAGCGTCCTGGGATCGAGTCCCACATCGGGCTCCTTGCTTGGCGGGGAGCCTGCTTCTCCCTCTGCCTCTGCCTGCCATTCTGTCTGCCTGTGCTCGCTCTCTCTCCCTCTCTCTCTGACAAATAAATTAAAAAAAAAAAAAAAACATGCATACACATAGAAAAAAAAGAGTTGACATTTATTCTTTACATCACTCTTGTATTTTCCCAATTTTCTTAAGTTAGCACAGAAAATATGTAAGTTTTTATTTAACGGGTCTAGTCACAGACTACAAAATACAAGAATCTTTGTTGATTCAAAATAAAATAGTTAAATATAGCCTATATTTTAATCATACTAAATTCATGAATTATACAAAGGTAAGTGAGTACAATGCAATCCCTATCAAAAACTCCATGACATTGGAGAAACAGAAAAATCTATCCTAAAATTCATACGGAATCTTAAATGATCCCAAGTAGGCAAAATAAACTTAAAAAACAAGATCAAAGCCGGAAGTCTCAACACTTCCTCATTTCAAAACTTACTACGAAAGTATAATAATCAAAATTGTGTCACGCTGGTACTGGTACACAGACACAGATCAAAAGAATAGCCCAGATAGGGGTTCCTGGGTGGCTCAGTGGGTAAAGCCTCTGCCTTCAGCCCAGGTCATGGTCTCAGGGTTCTGGGATAAAGCCCCGCCATCGGGCTCTCTGCTGTGGGGAGCCTGCTTCTCCCTCTCTCTGCCTGCCTCTCTGTCTACTTGTGATCCCTCTCTGTCAAATAAATAAATAAAATCTTTAAAAAAAAAAAAGAATAGCCCAGATATAAACCCTCACACATGATGAAATGATTTTCAACAAGGGCACCAAAACCATTCAATGAGGAAAGGACAGTCTTTTCAACAAATGGTGCTGGGAAAACAAAGTATCTACATGCAAAGAAATGAAAGTGAACACTTACCCTACACCATAAACAAAAAAATTAACTAAAAATGGATTAAAGAGCTAAATATAAAAACTAAAACTTTAAAACTCTTAAAAGAAAATATAGGGAAATAACATAACATTGTTATTCATAACACTGGATTTGGCAATGACTTCTTGGATATGACACCAAAAGCCCAGAGAACAAAATAAAAAAAAAAAAAAAAATTACTGGACTATGCCAAAATTAAAAACTTATGTACATCAAAGAACGTATCAAGAGAGTAAAAAGGGGTGCCTGGGTGGCTCAGTGGGTTAAGCCGCTGCCTTCGGCTCAGGTCATGATCCCAGGTCCTGGGTTCAAGCCCCACATCGGGCTTTCTGCTCAACAGGGAGCCTGCTTCCTCCTCTCTCTCTGCCTGCCTCTCTGCCTACTTGTGATTTCTCTCTGTCAAATAAATAAATAAAAAATCTTTAAAAAAAAAAAAAAAAAAGAGAGTAAAAAGACAGCCCACAGAATGGGAGAAAATATTTGCAAATCATGTATCTGATACAGGGCTAATATCCAGAATATATAAAGAACTCTTTCAACTCAACAACAAAGAAACAACCAACCTGATTTTAAAAATGGGCAAAAGACTTGAATATACGTTTCTTTAGAGGAGGCATACAAATAGCCAATAAGCACATGAAAAGATGCTCGACATTATCTATCATTGAAAAAATGCAAATCAAAACCAGAATAAGATACCATTTCATAAAAGGGTGACTATTATAAAAAACAAACAAACAAAAAATAACAAGTGTTGACAAGGATGTGGAGGGATTAGAATCCTGTGCACTGCTGGTGAAAATGTAAAATGGTGCAGCTACTGTGGAAAACAATATGACAATTCCTCAAAAAAATCAAAAATAGAATTATGATATATTCCAGCAACTCCTCTTCTAGCTATCTATCCAAAAAATTTAAAGCAGGACTTAAATAGTTATATATCCATGTTCACAACAGCATCATTCACAAGAGTCAAAAATGTGAAAGCAGGGGCGCCTAGGAGGCTCAGTGGGTTAAGCCTCTGCCTTCGGCTCAGGTCATGATCTCAGGGTCCTGGGATCGAGCCCCGCATGGGGCTCTCTGCTCAGCAGGGAGCCTGCTTCCCCCCTTTCTCTCTGTCTGCCTCTCTGACTACTTGTGATCTCTCTCTCTCTGTCAAATAAATAAATAAAATATTAAAAAAAAAATGTGAAAGCAACCCAAGGGTCTATAAATGAATGAATGGATAAATAAAATGTGATATGTCCAGACAATGGAATATTACTTAGGCTTAAAAAGGGAGGATATTCTAGCATATACTATATGGATGAATCTTAAGGGCATTATGCTAAGTGAAATAAGCCAGTCAAAAGACAAATACTGTATGATTCCACTTATATGAGGTTCTTGGAGTAGTCAAATTACAGAGAGAGAAAGTAGAATGGTGGCTGCCGGTGGTTGGGGAAGAAAAGGGGGAGTTACTGTTTAATGGGTATATAGTGTCATTTTTGCAAGATGAAAAAAGGTCTGGAAATAATGGTGGTAACTGTTGTACAACAATTTGAATATCCTTAATGTCACTCAAACTACATTTTAAAATGGTTAAAATAGTAAATTTTATATTATGTGTACTTTACTACAATTTTTTAAAAGCCTAGGTGGCTCAGTGGGTTATGTGACTGCCTTCAGCTTGGGCCATGATTCCAGGATCCTGGGATCAAGCCCCACAATGGGTTCCTGGCTCAGAGGGGAGTCTGCTTTTCCCTCTCCTTCTCCCCCTCCCCATGCTTGCTCTCTCACTCACTCTCTCTTTTCCAAATAAATAAATAAAATCTTTTTTAAAAAAGTGATTAACCTGATAACTAGGCATAAAGCCATGAACAAAAACTCAATCTTCATTTTTTCTCATGTTTAATGAAGAATTGTACTAAAATCTATTTTTTTACTAAAATACTATATGAGTTTGTGACATCTCAAGTTATTGTGATCTATGATCTATTCTCCTTAAGATTTGAAATAAAACTGAGATTTAGCATTTTTTTTTCTCAAAGGTAAACTCTTAAAAAAAATTGAATAGAATTTAAAAAGAACGATCCATACCTGATATAAAGCAAGAGAGTGTCCATATCTCTGGAGAGGACCCCTTGATAGACTTCCTACATTCCATATACTGCTTTCCAAATTATAACTAAGAGCAAAAAAAAAAAAAAAAAAAAGCTTTATAAGCTAAGATTCATTTTTTTTAATTTGCATGTTTTCCTCACTTGTATTCAAGTATTCATTGAACTCAAAAATAATTATAACTAATAAACTCATAATTTCATGTGCCACATTAGAAATTTTTAATAAAGACTCATTCAAGACATACCTACTCTAAATCAAAATTCAATCATTTAAACATGTAATATATATTAACTTGAGTCGGCTATTGATTACTGGAATTAATTTGTTCCATTACCCTTAACAATTTCAACCAACTGATTAGCCTAAATAATAAGTGAGTTATTCTGCATTTTTAAGTTTTTTTTAAAAGCCACCTTTTTCTTTTCAAAATAGATAAAACTTCTCCCCATTTTCACAACAGCCATTTCCTTTATGTATTCATTTTTATTCTTTCATACAGACTAAGCTTAGCATTATGTAAATTAACTAAGTACACATTTCCTATGCTAGATATAACACAGAACACTTTTTGAAATAAAATGAAGCTAATAAGATAGAAGCTTCTGTAAAAATAAAGTAATTATTGGATTACAGGATAAAAAAAGAAAATTAATATGTTCTAAAATATACATATGAAAACATAAGTTCCAAACTATGAATCTCAAGTGCTCATCCGACAGAACTCCACCATCATACTCTACACTCGAAGTTCCTCAATTTGCCAAAACATAAAAAAGGGAAGCACCCAGCTAAGAATTGGCTAGAACACTGTTTAAGAAGCTCATTAACAATTATTTCCCCTCTTCTCTTTCTTCAATTCATCAAGAAAGGTAAGAGGGCTCCCTTCACCAAAAAAAAAAAAAAAAAAAAGAGAGAGGGAAAGAGAAAGGGTTACCAAAAATTCTTCAGTATCATGTTTAACTTATTTCCTACCATGGAGTTTATAAAATACATGTGTATGTCATAAATGAGGAAATATAATCAACCAGAACATAAACATTAACTTCCAGACTCGTACCTATAACTACCTACCATATCTGCACCCAACACACAGCTTTCTACCAAGTTACCATAAATTAGGGCCCAGCAAACTATTTCTGTAAAAGGCCAGACAATAAATATTTTAGGCTTTGTGTACCACATTGGTCTCATACATTCTTCTTCGGTTCTTTACTACAGCCCATTAAGAATGCAAAACCATTCTTAGCATCTAGGTCCTAGGCCTGCCCTTGGCAGTTGGCTGTTTCTGCTATCAATAAACTATATTTGTGTTCCTGGTGCACTGGATCCTACAACATTCTAGCAGTTCTCCCATCTCTTTCCTACGTCACCACTTTATGGATTTACTAGATAATTCCCATTGGCATAAAAACATGGTGTTATTTTTCCCCACTTATAAAAAAAAAAAAAAGGAAAATTTCTCTTGACCTTACTACTCCCCCTTCAAGCTATCACCCCATTTCTTTACTATGTCTATTCTTCCTTACCCCACCCTGCACCTCTCCACTCTCAACTAACTCCAAACAAGCTTTTAAAACGAGGCTCCAACAAAACTGTTTTTGTTAAAACCAGCTTCCTCCTGCTAAATCCCTGGGCCCTTCTCAGTCCTCATTTTCCTTGATTTGGTTAATCATTAGCATTTGATACTGCTAATCAATCCTTCCTCCTCATATACTCTCTTCCCTTGCCTTCAAAGATACCACACTTGGTTTTCCTACCTCACAGGCCACTCCTTTACAGCCTCCTCTGCTGTTTTCTCATCTTTTACCTTGACCTCCTAGTGATATGGTGCCTTGGGCTCAGTTCTTGGTTCTCTTCTCCACCTAGAATTCATCGCTTTGATGATATCATCCTAACTCAAGCCCCATTTCTATTCTTCTTACCAATCCCAGTATATTCTTCACAAAGTAGGCACAATGCAAGTCAAAGCATGCTCAAAGATTCCCATGACTCTCAAAAAACCTACAACATCCTACATGATCTGTCTCTCTCCCCGACTATCCCAAGAATTTCATGCTTCCCTCTCATGTATTCCATGAAAGTCATGGGGCCTCCTTGTTGCTGCTTGAACTGTCCAAGTAGCTCCACATTAAGGCTTTTGTCTGGCTCTTTTCTCTGTCTCCAGATAACTGCACTGCCAATGCTTAATCTCTTTAAATCTGTTGTTATCACCTTTCCCATGATGCCTACCTTGACCACTACATTTATAACTCTCCTCTTTGCACTTTGTGATTTGCTTATCCTATCTATCTTGGTATCTATCTTTATATATATGCATATATATATAATTTACATAAAATGTACTTATTTATGATGGTAATTATGTTTTTCTAATTGCCTGTCTTTCCTCACTAACTCCATAAATATAGAGACAATTAATATGTCCACTATGTATCCCAAATATCAAGCATACAGTTAATATTCAAAACAGTTTGCTATGCCCATAAATACATGTTAATTCTCACTAACATCAGCATATAGTGTAAGGGCCTGTTTAGCCAGAGCTATTCCATCTGGTTAAACAGTGATTTTGTTGTTTATGCAGTAAAACTTAAACTGACCCTGCCCCGGACCAGGGGACTTACTTCAAAGCAAGTCCAGGAAACCAGTCCCAGATAACAAAGCCCAAATAACAAGGGTGGGTCAGGCCGGGTGGAGACATCCAATCAGTGGGGCGCGCATACTGTCTCCCTAGCTACCAAGGAGTGTGGGCCCCGCCTTTTGGGTGCCTGTTGGGCACCAATTCTGACCAAGGTGATAGGCTAGTTCAAATATCTACTATAGGGTAAATTGTGATTCAATTGGTCACTTGTGTGTGACCTAGCATGACTATGCAGCTTTCTCTGTATGTTGCAATCTCATTGGCCACCTGTGTGTGGCCAGGCTCAACCACATGGCCCTTGCCCTTTAAAAGTTAGTCAGTAAGGCAGGGAAGGGTCGCCCTCTTTGTAAGAAGCAGCCCCGAATAGTCAGTTTGATTCTCAATCCTTGGCGCAAAATAAAGCTTTGCTTGACCTTCACTTTGTCTCGCTCCTTTGATCACGGACCTATTATTGGGGGACCCATCATATATGTTCTGTCAAATAACACAGAATTTTATATCTTACTGAACAATTTTGTCTTAAAATATAACATCTAGGGGCATCTTGGTGGCTCAGTCAGTTAAGCATCTACCTTTAGCTCAGGACATGATCCCAGAATCCCAGGATCAAGTCCCACACTGGGTTCCCTGCTCACAGGGAGTCTGCTTCTCCTTCTGCCCCTACCCGTGATCATGCTCTCTTTCTCTCTCTCTCTCTCTCAAGTAAATAAAATCTTTTTTAAAAATGCAAAAGATTTTTACAAATGTAACATCCATACCTCAATTAAATTCTATAGAAAAGAAATTGACTAATGACTGACATCACTTCTAAAAGCCAATAAATATTCTTACCTACCTACAACTGAATTACATTCAGAATAATAAAAACAAAAAATTCTCTAACTTGTAAACACAGCAACCAGGTTACTTTTAATCTGACACCTCGAGACTTACTACAAAACTAAACACTATAGGCAAAAGAAACAGACAAAAAAAAAAAGTTAAACTATCTGAGTCAAATGAGAAATATATAAGTTTAAGAGTATCAAATGATATTCACCACTTAATTTTAAATATGCTATTAAACTTGTACAGAACACAAATTTTTAAGATTCCCATGTTTCCCTGACACTGTACTCCATCTTCACAACTCTACTTTGCAAAGACCACAGTTTAATTCAAAGTTTCATTTTATTTTCATAGACTTTTCATTATCATTAATCATAGTTAATTTCCTTCTCATTTCCACATTTAAATCGTATTTTTGCTTCAGGTTCTTTTTATACCTTTAACAACTTGTTTAATCCTACCAACTCTCCTTCAATTCTTTTTAGAATACTTTATCCTTCATATACTATGAGGTAGAATTCTAATTCTTCACTTAAATATTTACCTATCACTCTTCCTTTTCTTCCTCACCAGAATTCATCTTAGACTTTAATTCCAATCGTATTCAATCATAGCTTTAAAGCAATCTCCTCTTAAACAGAGACATTTTTATATTCTCCAAAGTAACAAGGTTAGTATTTTCACTTGGTAGGGTTGCCAGATAAAATATAGGATGCTCAGTTAAATCTGAATTTCAGATAAGCAACCAACAAATTTTTAGTGTACCCATGCAATATTTGGAACAAAAGCAAAAATACATATTTTTAAAGTTATTTTGTATGGAGCCTATGTGCAACATATACAATTTTACAATGAAGACTAACAAGGTCAGTTCTAACTGGTTGATGCCCAGGTTGTACCAGTTATATTATTATATTGAAAACAATACTGATAATCAAATTACTCTTTCTAATTCCTCTTTTATTCTGTTAATAGATGGTTGATAAAATAAAACTGGCAGCTGAAAAAAAAGTCAGATAAAGCTGCCACCCATGTGATTTCTCATGTCATCCAATCATGCAGAGGATAATCTCTATTGCACCAAAAGCAAATGAATGATTTATTTTATAATATTGGTGCTGTGTTCCCAAAAGCTTGTAAAATAAAAGCTCAGGTAAATTAAAACTTACAGAACAAACTGAAAGTATTTTTATATAAGCAAATACACTTCATTCTAAGAAAATGAAAGGTGACAGGATTTTTAATGTCTAATACAGGCACAGTCCCCTACTTCTTTGAAGTTAATATTTTCATACTAAGAATTTGAGGAAAGCAATCTCTAGAGAGGTAATAAAATTTCTACAAAACAAACTTACATGCACAATGACAAAAATTAACTATGTATATACTGAGTTCATGTATTCTCAAATCAGTCCCATGTAGCAAGTAGTTACTACCACTGATATAACTGTTTATAAATTTGGACAGCAATAAAATAAGAAATTTAGTATAGCCTATTACCAAAATAACCCAATAGATTATGAACATTTGAAAAAAAACTTACTTCAGGACCATTTGAAAAGAACTGTAGTTAAAAGTATATCCACCAATCACCCACATAAATTTCCCATGTAAAACTGCTTTATGGGAAGCCCGACCTACAGAAGGACTGAAGGGTTTAACATTTGGCAAAATCCAGTATGACTCAGTAGAAGGAACATTCAAAGAACAATCAGGACCTATTAAAAAAAAAAAAAATCAAACACAATGCATTAAACAAAGACCTTAGGTTATAGAAATAGAATATATGGGTTAAGAAAATTTAAGAATTCAATGCTCATGATATTAATAAATGCAATATACATAAAATGATCTAAAATATAACTTATAGGAAAATTTCTAAGACCAAAAATAATGCCTACCGGGCAAAAAATTCATATACCCAATCAGACATAAATACCACAACCTGAAAAAAAATCAATTACGTAATACGAAATATCCTATTTACTTTATTATGCTACTAGAATGCTACTGGAGTATTAGACTGCAAATCAATGCACACGAATCCTGGTTTGGTCACTGACAACAAATGTGACCTTGAGCAAGTCTGTTTGTCTCTCCCATCATCAATCTTTCATCTATAAAATAGAAATAACAATTGATCCCCTAAAGGTTATCATAATTTTTTAAAGGACAATGGACAGTGGAAATGAAAGCATTTATAAATTATAAACTATTAAACAAATATGAAACCAAAAATTATATTTTTCTTAGTATCATTATATTAAGAACAACCAAAATTGGTATTAGTAGAGAGGCTTATTATCCTCAAACAGAAAAAAATTATTATGCATAATAAAATAAAAAATATTAATAAGTGCAGGATAACTTAAATAACTTTAAGTTAAAAACACTGCCTTGGGGCGCCTGGGTGGCTCAGTGGGTTAAAGCCTCTGCCTTCAGCTCAGGTCATGATCTCAGGGTCCTGGGATCGAGCCCCGCATCGGGCTCTCTGCTCGGTGGAGAGCCTGCTTCCCCCTCTCTCTCTGTCTGCCTCTCTGCCTACTTGTGATCTCTGTCTGTCAAATAAATAAATAAAATCTTTAAAAAAACAAAAAACAAAAAACACTGCCTTTACCTACCCATCATTTAAGTTACTCATGAGATTTGATTTCCTCCTCTGTAAAATATAGAAGACTAGCCTAGATCAGGTTTCTCAAACTTAACTAATTGAAAGAATGCTCTTAAAGGAAATATATATTTCACCAAACTTAAGGTTCATAAATTATTTTAATTCTAAGGAAACTAAAATACACTGAAATAAAACTAAATATAAATTCCTTATGTTTGAAGTACTTTTATAAATATAAAACCAACAAAAATTTATAAATTGTATATAAACTTACAAAACCAGTAAAATTAATGTTTACTTAATATGATGGTAATAGTGTTTTGCTCAAAGTAAATCATTGGTCCCAAGTTGAAAATGATATTACTACAGTGCCTTTTTCATGTATTTTAGCATACCTATATTATCTTGACATAATTCTCCCATCACTTTTCTTTCCTTTACCTTTAATAAATAGTTTAAATTCAATAATATGCCATATTATCATTTGAACTGCCCTTGTCACAAAAGCATAAAACACCTAAGGAATATTCTTTTTAGCCTATAGTAAGTAACATCACTTGGTCTCAAATCCATAGCAAACAGGAATGCTGACATTGCAACCAAGTGACATTTTTACTCAATTACGAGATCAATCACTTGGCTTAAATTTGTTAATACCAAAAAGTTTTAGATTATCTTGAATCACAAAATTTTAAAATATCCGACCAGACTCTGATGTGAGAGACATTAACCCATACAGTTTCCATTTGTTTATGTGTTCACTCACCCATGCACTCACTCATTCATCTTCAAAGTCCTTTTCAATGCTTGCGTGCTATATTTTTCAGGTACAAACTAGGTAGCATTCTAGCTTATCTCTTTGATAACAGCATAATCCTTTAAATCAGATACAGAAAATATTACTGTTTCTGAGTGAGAAGACTACAAACTACTCCTTGGTAACTGAAGAAATTTAAAGAACATACTGCTGTCAAAAATATTTTTTAATTCCAATTCCAAATCACTTAGAATCCACTCAATTCAAGTTGGCAAACAACAACCCATGAGCAAACCCCAGCCCACTATCTGTTTTCGTAAACAAGATTTTATTAGAACACAGCGTGCTCGTTCAAGTGCGACCGGTGACTGCTTCGGCAGGAGCACAGCTGAATACTGCAACACACACCGTGTGGCGTACAGACAAAACTCACAGAACGGTTCACCAGTCTCTGAGTAAACTGAAGAGAAATGAGATCATATGGACGTTATATATAAGTAATATATTCATTGGTATGAATTTTTGTATTTTGTTTTCTTAAAAAGGAAATGTAGATTTATTTTAAATCATGTAAGTCAGGAATAATAAAGCAAATAGGGTAAAATGTTAACAATAGGTGAATCTGGGGGTAAAGGGCGCTTGGAGAGTCTTTGTACTATTCTTATTCCTGCAATTTTTTCATAAATTTAAAATTTTCTAAGTAAAAATTTTAAAAAAATCTACCACCTAAAGGCAGAGCTGGGAGCAGTCAAATAATACCTGGGTATTATTTGACAAAGAGCTTGACCGAGAATTAACAGTACGTAAAACTCTTGAGAGAACCATATTTAAAGTGTAATATGTTTATGAAATCTGTGCTACAGCAAAATATTTCAGAGCAGGTTTGTGGTAGGCTATATAAAGCCCCCCGCCCCAAAGAAGTCTAGGTCCTAATCACTGGAACCTGTGAATGTTACCTTATCTGGCAAAAGGAACTTTGAAGATATGACTAAATTGGGAATCGAGCTCAGAAGTTTATCCTTGATTATCCAGGCAGGCTCTGAATGTGATTACAAGTTTCCTTAACAAGAGAGGGAGATGTGAATACAGAAGAAAACAATATAACCACTGAAGTCAGCTGTAGTGTAAGCTTTGATAGTGGAGGAGGGGAAAACTAGGAACTGAAGCTCTAGAAGCAGGAAAGGTCAAGGATCTAGAAAAGATCTAGAGCCTCCAGGAGTGTGACCTTGCAAGCCCTGAGATTTTAGACCAGTGAAACTGACTTCACACTTCTTATCTCAGATGGTAAGAGATTAATAAATGTGTATTGTTTTACGACATCAGGTTTATGGTAATTTATTATAGCAGTTATAAGAAACTAACACATATAACTAAATTTATTACTTAATTTATTTAAATATTGTTATTTAATACAGAAAAATAAGATTCTAGAGGTTTTTTAAATTTTACTCAGTAATCTAAAAAATCTGATTTTCTACACAAAATAGGAGTTAAAATTTTTCTTATCTTTGTTACTACCATATCTTACTTCCAGCAATTATTAGAAAAAATGTCTATAGTCAAACTCTATAGATTGTCTTTATTTCGTTCTAAATTAGGAAGTTTATAAATAGAATGAGATTTATGAATATGGCTTAAAAGTTTAAGGAAAACTAGATACCTTAATTTGTAGCATGCTGTGTTCTATAACTAAAATAATTAAAAACATCATTTTATAGGGTGCCTGAGTGGCTCAGTGAGTTAAGCATCTGACTTTGGCTCGGGTCATGGTATCAAGGTCCTAGGATCAAGTCCCACATCAGAGTCCCTGCTCAGCGGACAATCTTGTCACTCTCCCCTGCTCATTCTCTCTCTCAAATAAATAAATGAAATCCTTTTTTAAAAATGTAATTTTATAAACTGAACATTAATTTAAAACATAATAACTACAAAGAATACACTATACACAAAGGCTTCACCATCCATTAAAAATCTAATATTGGTATCTCCATTTAAGGCCCTCAAAGACTCCCTTTTTAGTTTTTCTTAAGAGGGTGGGGAAGAGGCAGGGGGAGAGGAAGAGAGAGAATCTTAAGCAGGCTCCACTCTGCGCAGGGCTCAATCTCAGGTCCCTGAGATCATGACCTGAGCCAAATTCAAGAGTCTTGATGCTTAACTAACTGAGCCACCTAGGCACCCCAAGACTCCCTTTTTATAAAAATATATCCATGAGGGACGCCTGGGTGGCTCAGTGGGTTAAAGCCTCTGCCTTCAGCTCAGGTCATGGTTCCAGGGTCCTGGGTTCGAGGCCTGTGTCGGACTCTCTGCTCAGCGGGGGAGTCTGCTTCCCTTCCTCTCTCTCTGCCTGCCTCTCTGCCTACTTGTGATCTCTGTCAAATAAATAAATAAAATCTTAAAAAAAAAAAAAAAAAAAAAAAAAAAATATATATATATATATATATATATATATATATATATATATATATCCATGAAAGGTCCTCTATCTACCATTTCCTAATGTGGCCCCTTATGCAGCCCCTCTGCATTAACTCTCCCTGCACAACTTCTCTCTATCTCCTCAAGGTATGCAGAACTCAGCTGTCTTGAAAAGATGTAATAAACTAATTCACATTACAGTGGGGATTTCATAAAGATTTAATACGCTACATTTTCCACAGGTTGTGCATCATTTATAATCCACAGAGCATAAATGAATTTCTAATGCTGTGACTTTGGAGATTAGTAAAGGCTGTTGAGAGATTTTTGAAGGGAAAATGCTATTCTACACATAATCATAGAGAGTAGAATTACACTCTGATCTCTCCCAAATGTGTATCTCTAGTCCCACAATCCCTCTTGAATTCCAGGTTCAAAGACAGATGACCTATATGACATCTCCACCAGCTGGATGTCTAATAATAATCTCAAACTTAACATGTCCAAAACTAAAATCTTAACTCTTCCCTTTCAAATCTGCTCCCTCACTAGTGTTCACCATCTCAGTAAATGGCACTTCCGTTCACCTCACTGCTCAGGACAAAGACCTGGGGCTATTCCTGAGCTCTCTCTTTCACCCACATTCCATATCCAATCCATCAACAAATCCTGGACTGACATCCCTTAGGTATGCAGGCATACAGCCTTTCTGACCATTAAAATATGGAAAGGTTTCAATTGAAGCAGATGCTGCCTCAAGCCCCTGGCCTACCCTCCCAGTTCCCCTGGCCCCTTCCTGAGATAATCCAACACTCTCCAGTCAACAACTAAAGGCATGATACCTGGCACTGCATGGCTCCTCCAGGATCTAGCTCCAGTCCTAAGGCCAGCATCCATTTTGACTGGCTGGTGTCTGAGTGTCTATACCCTACAGA